TTGTGGGTCTGTCAGGTTTCTAGCCTCTGGCTTTCCTGAAGGATGAGCTTCCACATGCTGTGGTCGTTGGGTTTCAGGTCGCACAATGTGCGGCCTTCCTGACATGAGCCCTCATGTTTCAGAGCTCCCTACACAGAGGGTCATCAGGTCTTAGGTCTCATTGACCCTCCTGATTTTGATCCCTCTCTTACTTCCTCAGTGCTCAAAAGCGAGCACTGGGTGGAAACTCGTGGATTGAGTGTACGATTCCCGTTGTTTTGAGGTTGAGTCACACTCTCCGGAGGATCCCGTCTCTGTGATCCGAAACTTGATGGTTTCTGCCAGCTTCGCGGGCCTTCAGTTTTTGGATGCCTTTCCTAGGCAATTTCCAGAGGCTCTGTCTTGGACGGACAGGCTATGGCCAGACTGTGTGTCTTAGTACAGATCACCAGGCCAGCCTGGGGGCATTTCAGGAGGAGTGTTCTCCTGAATAGTGACTGGCTGGGGGTCCCTTTGGCCCCCTAGCCACACTCCCTAGAAGGGACCCCTTCTATTTTGAAGTTGTGGTCCTAAAGCCTTTGAGCTTGCCCCGATTTACCCACGTTATTACGTTCTGGTTTTTCTTGGTTCATTAGCTTGGGCTATGACCGGTAGGGAGTGCTGTCACTGACAGCCCGATGTAACATAGGGTGAGTGGTTTCAGTGAGTGGTTTTCTCCTTATAATGGACTTCCATGGGAACCAGGTCCAACCGTGGTCCAAACGACAGTTAATAACAGTTTCAGATGCAGCTTCAAATGTCTTTAAACGGCACCAGACGATGAATAAGGGTCTTATCATGCGAAACGATCGGTTATTTCAAAGCTTATTCCAAAAATGTAACTTTTCAAAGGACAAATGCTAGCCTATACTGAGAGGCGCGTTTGCAACATGACGTAATACATAATTACGTTCAAAAGGTCACGGGCGACGTAGCCGGAAGTACCTTTTCATCTCTGTGCATCCCGTAACTAAGCCTAGCTTAGCACAAAGACTGTAAATGTAAAAAAAGTAAATGGCTCCAGTTAGCATACTGCTTCCAATAAGTGACAAAATATTGCCAACATTTTCCTATTTACATGTTGTGATTTGTATAGTCATCTAAATAGGAAAATGTTGGGCGTTATTTTGTCACTTATTGGGAGCAGTATGCTAGTTGAAGCCCAGTGGCGGCTGGTGAAAATTATTGTCGGGGGGGCTGAATAAGAGGGGGCTCTGGGGGTTCCCCCCCAAAAATTTTGAATTTAGTAGATGTGATTTCCTGCATTCTGGTGCATTTTAGGCCTTAGGCCATGCCCTTACCTATACCAATAAAATAACTTAAACCAGTCAATACCAATGGTCAAATAATACAATAATAATAACAGTTTGACAGTTAATGATAATGAACAAGTTGCATGTTTATTATGCTCTGTGTGCTGACAGAAAAAGTGCAAACGCATAATATTGATAAATTATAATATAGGTAATACAAAAAAAAAAAAAAAGTAATACAACAATCTAGTTTAATCAATCCCCAGCTGTAGACTACATATTTTTGACAAATTGACAATTGGATAATGGATAACAATGTGTTGATACTAGAGAAAGAGAGAGAGAAAAGGCTCTGAAAGAGAGGGTGGGACAACGTTCTTGATTGTAACACCCAAGTATGAGAAGAAAGTTGATTTTAACTAGTATGAAACAGTAATCTAGCTCAGAACTTAAAAACATCAAAAAACAAAGCAAACACACAGGTATTAATATTCCTATAACTATTTTAATATCAAATGTGTGTGAAACAGTGTTTATGTGTGTGTGAGTGAGTGAGTGACAGAGACAGACAGATCAATTCCCACGACTAACTTTACATTATTTCCACTAAACGTCACTGGCGCTGCCATTCTTCTCTCATCTGAGGTAAAAAAAAATGTCCCGTGGTGCGCGTGCACGGTGCACTCCCCTCTTGAATCTGATACTGTGGGCGATATTTTCAGCGCCCCCAAACCATAAAATTTGACGGCGCTGATTGGCGAAATATAAACTTTTTTGCATAGCAACCGGGGAACCATTGGCTTAAATTCCAGCACTGTGGGGCTGAGCGAACTGGCGCCCTGAGAAGACAGCCTATTGGCTATACTACTACACCAACATGATAAAAGTAACGAAAGTGAATGCAAATATCATTCTGGTGAGTTCAAAACACTTTTAAAAGTAAAACAATTATTAGCATATAATTAACACAGATTATTTTTCAAAATGATAAATTATAATATATATTAAAAAAACAGACAGACAGGTCGGAGGGAGGGCGGCGCCCCAGCGCCCTCTATGGGCAAGCCGCCCCTGTTGAAGCCATTTACTTCCAGTCTTTGTGTTAAGCTAGGCTGCATCGTTCCCTGGGTGCTCTAGTCAGTGGAAAAACAAACAGGTTCTGAACGGGTTCGCAAGTTGAACCTACTCCGAACCAACTTTGAACCAGCACCAGTTCCGAACCAGTTCTTTTTTTGGTGGAAAAGGGGTAATAGAGACTGTAAGTGTTGCAGATCAGTAATGAGCTGGCACCATCCTCCTACCAGGTTCCAATATGGCTCCAGTCATGTGCAATTCAATAAGGACAGATGTACACAAATGAATTACTAGGAGTGCTACTTGGGTGTTACGAGGTGTGTTCCTTTGGTGCTCTTCAGTTTGGAGATCCAAAGTGTTTCCCAGATAAACAGTAATTCTGAGGCACTCAAAAGGAAAATAAATATAAAAAGCCTTTATTTAAACTTGGCTATCCATTAAAAACATATGCCAACATGTTTCGGCCACATTGGCCTTCTTCAGGGCAAATTCAAAATGGCAGTCAGTAGACTGCAAGCTATATATCTGCATGTAGTCACATGACCTAAAGTCACAGGTGCTCATCTGCACATATCACCTGACAAAGAGCAATAGGAACAACTTACTTTAGATAAGACAAATCACATTTACATATCAGGATAGTTTAAAATATCAATATAAATGGATAAATATAGCAAGAGGTTACTTTATATGACAAATTACAGAAAAAAGAAACAAATACAGAAAAAAAATAATATGTACAGTCTCAGATGTTAAATACCTTTACAATTTCTATATTTTACCTCTTTTCACATCAAGATGCAATTTTAAATATCTATATAGACTGATACATAAAGCAAAACATTAACTTATGCATATAGCCTGTTATAAGAAAGGAGAAAAATTCAATTCCAAGTTTAGACCTGGGTATTGATTAGCTTTTAAAGTGTAAATCCAAAAAGATTCTCTTTGCAAAAGTTTTTTGAGTCTATCTCCCCCTCTTGGTGATATTTTAACATGTTCTATCCCAAAGATTTTTAAAGTATCGCTACTTCCGTGGTTCGCCTCTCTATAATGTAGAGCCATAGGATACTGGTAGTTGCTTGTTCTTATCGCATATTTATGCTCTGCTAATCTTTCTTTAAGTTTACGCTTAGTTCTTCCAATATAAAAACAACCACAAGGACATTCAAGTCTGTAGACAACGAATGAGGTGTTACAATTAATAAATGAATGTATACTGTGTTCGCGATTTGATGTCACATCTGTAAAAATACTGGTCTTTACCATATTGCTACAATGAATACAGTTTCCACACTTATAATTACCTCTTTTTTTGCCTAGCCAGGTTTTACTCTCTACAGGAGGCATATAGCTTTTCACAAGACTATCTTTTAGAGTAGGAGCTCGTTTAAAGGTGATAGTAGGTACCTCCGGCAGTATATCTCTCAACACGGTATCACTTTTTATTATGTCCCAATTGATAATTTGCTTTATCTTATTAGCTTGACTACTGTATTGTGTAACAAAATAAACTTGGTTTGGCTCTTGTTGTCGCCTCTGTTTTTGAACCAACAGCTGTTCTCTACCAAATTCTTTTACTCTATTATAGGCTCTATCTAGAGTCTTATGTTTATACCCTCTTTTCTTAAACCTTTGAACCATGTCTTGAGCATTTTTTTCAAAAACATCTTCAGAATCACATATGCGTTTAATCCTTTGAAATTGGCCAAAAGGAATATTCTCTATTAACCAAGGTGGGTGGTAGCTTTCTGCCCTCAGTATGGTATTCAGATCAGTGGGTTTTTTAAACACGGACGTATGTAATTCACCTTTGTCATCTTTTGAAATCTCCAGATCTAAGAAATGAATATTTGTTAATGAGAACTCTAGACTCAACTTCAAATTAGGATTAGTGTTAATAAGATATGCATGAAACTGTAGCAACTCTTGCTGTGACCCAGACCAAATAAGAAGAATGTCATCAATATACCTACCCCACCATACAATCTTATTCACATATTCATTCAAACTCGAATAGACAAATGTTTCTTCCCAGAGACCCATAAACAAATTTAAATAATTTGGTGCAAAGCAAGCACCCATTGCTGTACCTTTTATCTGCTTAAAGAATTTGTTTTGGAACAAGAAAACATTGTTAGTTAGTGTCCATTATGTGAGTTTCAGGATAAACTCTGCTGGGGGCATCTGTTCTGGTGGTTTCTTCTCTAGATAATGCGTCAGTGCCTTTAAAGCAGAACTAAGTAACTTTTTTACCTTAACTGAACAGCTTTGGAGTCATTGTAATGTTTATATTACTGATTTCGTGTTGAATGGTGATCGCACCCCCCTGGTGCCTGTGAGCCGCAAAACCACCCTTGCAACTTTGGGCCGGCGGCCCGCCGCCCTCAGTGTTAGGAAGTATCGTGAGATTTCAGGTCTCGCGAGGTAACGAGTTGCTTTACGGCACTATACCTGCACACGCATGCGTACACGCCCCCCATCCATCCAGGAGCCGGCTAGAAAAAGGTTACGTTTGAATTGAATTCGTGTAAGTTTTGGCGATGGATGATGTAAAAAAGAAGAAGAAAGCTCGAAAATCTTTAACAGAGGAACAAAGAAAGAGAAAACGGGAGACTGACCGAGCGAGAAGTGAGACTAGAGTTAATATTGGACCGGCTTTTTCAGAATGGAGAGAATTGAAAGAAAGCGAAGCCTGCAAAACCGATGCTGACCTGGCCTTCTTGCTGTTGCACTTGTAAGTATCTTTATAATAAACTGTGTTTAATGTTTGTATTTCTTGTAATTGTGACCTCGGGAGTTGAGATGTTTGCTATTGTCTGTTTGGTTTTCTTTTTATCATGCTCGCTGTCTGTTACCGGCTTACTAGTACGCTAGATACTGTAACTTAGATGTTTGCATTTTCATTAGCAAAAAAACTTGCTTGTAGTGTTTTGTCCGTTCCTCTATCAGGTTTTATTTGTGTTACTCAGATCACCTATAAATCGATATGAAATTCTACAAATTATACATTAGTTTAGCTTGTCGTCAGCCTCAGAATTATTAACGTTTTATGTTACTGTGCTGACTTGATATATAATGCATAAACCGACACGAGAGCTGCTAGCTAATAAAGCAACTCTTTATATTTATTTACCCACATATACACAAACAGAACTATAAGTAAATGAGAAATTTAATTGCAACTTCACACATGCAACTCCATCTGTGCTAGTTTGACCTTGTATATAAATGATGTTGATATAAGAGATTGATCCATTTTATTTTTCCTTTTTAGCTACAAGCGTTGGCACGTGTCATCAACTCCGAGTAAGGGGCACCCCAGACCACCAGTACCACTGGTACTCAAGTTTCACGGAGGAATCTGACCGTGATCAGTATGTTCCTATCTAATAGCTTTACTAAAACTAGCTTTCATGGCTTTGCACATCTATAAACTACCATATTTTTAAACAGTGATGTAGCCATTCCTGAGCATGGTGTTCGTCCACTAATTGGAGAGGAAGAATTTGTTGCTTTGGAGTCAAGGTGAGTGTCTTTCATTGGGTGTTGTTAATTTTTTTTTTTTTTGTACCTATATTTCAATATAATTGTTGAATGATGATCACATATATTTATTTGTTGATTGTAGCATGCACTCCATGGACATTAGTGAAGATAAATATGACTCTGAGGAGAACCTTGTAAATAGTTCACATCAATGTTTCATATACTCACACTGATCTGTTTCTCAAATCTAAGACGTACAGTATGTCGTTTTTCACACACAGCATGGATGACTTTTATGGGGACCCTAATAATTTGAACTTGGAAGACGGGGACAGCTCGGATGATGATTTTTTACCTTCCCTTCATCTACGGTATTGTACTATCTGTAAATTTTTGTGTTGACATAGTGCTGCCTCATTCATTCCTTCAAACACCTTACATATACAACTTAATGATGAACAAGTCAAATTTACATTTGTTCATATAATGAAGTACTAGATCATCAATGAACTCATAGTTTGTCTCTTTACACAGGACTGTTAACGGGAAAGCACATGATTTGAAAGAAATATCTATGGATGAGGCTGTGCTTGATTTTGAAATGCCGGATCCTCCAGTTGAGGAAATAGAGAAATTATCAGAGCAGCATAAAGTTGTTTCTGAGGATGACCTTGTTGGAAAAAAAGCCAACATCACATATAATGACAACCTCCTTGCACTGGCCATGTATTTGAGAATTCCAACAGAAAAGTGCAACCACAGAGACAAGTTGTCTGGACCATGCCCTGGTTCTCAGCCATTCCGGGTGACACTGAAACCACGGGGTACAGGAGTCGTCATGGAATGGGTAAGATTATTGTGTGAGAGACTAACCTCATCAATGCTTGTCGGCCAAATCCTCATGTACTAATTGAAAACTGTATGGGGGAGGTGGACACTTGTGGTCAGCTGATGTTTATCAGTTCAGCTGTGTGAATTAGCATCCCTATGGCATAGGATTTGGGGTATAAAAATGTCAAAAAATTGATTGTAGTGAAGCCTAACTATCTTTTAATAAAATTTGAATGTCTTCCAATTAGATATGCTCGTTCGGACACACGGTGTGGCGTTGGAATTCCCAGCCAACACTGAAATTCGGTATGCAGTCTGGTGATTTCATGTTGTCTATGAACATTCTCCTGTCTGGAAATAACTACCGAAAAGTGGCCATGCTTTTTAAATTCATGAACATGGGAATGGTTGCTGAGAGCACATACTTCAGAATTCAAGACTCCTACTGTATTGAGCCAGTTCAGGAGTACTGGGAAGCAACTAGGGCTGAAGTCATAGATTGTCTACGTCTAAAGGACCATGTTGTTGTCTTGGGTGAGTTTACTTTCAATATAACCTCAATTACATTGAGATGTTTATGATTAGCTCTAAATTAACAATTAAAACGCAATCAAAAATTAATGTCTGTTTGATCTATTCACTAGGTGATGGCAGAATGGACTCTCCTGGTAGGTTTTGAAGTATACATTTTTTTTAGTAGTAGGACTAACAATGTTTACATGCTGACAGATTAATTTCTTATGCAGGTCACTGTGCACAGTACTGTACGTATACGACCATTGAACAGGATTCCAGAGACATTGTGCACATTGTCTCTGTTGACAAACGTGAGACCAACCGGAATTCTGTAATCATGGAGAAGGAGTGTTTTGTAAGGACTATGGATGCACTGCTTACAGAATTAAAAATCAAAGAAGTGGTCACTGATGCCCACTCACAGATCACTGCCTTGCTGAGTAAGAACTTAGTATGACTTTTCACTATTATAGGCAGAACAGATTTGCATCATAACCAAAGTTGTAAACTCTTATTGTTTTTGTTTGTTTTACAGATCCTGAACGTGGGAAATACAGGGCTTGGGGTATCCACCATTCACTTGATATTTGGCATGCTGCTAAAAGTTTAAGCAAGAAACTTCGACGGGTAAGCTTATATCCACCCAAAAAAATCTATACCGTGAATAAACGTCAACATGTTGGTTTGTCCTAATCATGGTACCGACATAACATGATATAAGACCTATGTTTGAAAAATAAATATTTACATTATTATTTTAATCAGGCTGGATCAATAAAGAACCAAACTGGAATTATGGTGTGGATAAAAGACATCGTCAATCACTTCTGGTATTGCAGCAAACAAGCCACAAATGAAGAGCATTTCAAGGTATGTTATTGTTATTTGAATAAATTTTGTCATATTGACTCATATAGTTTGAGCCTGCATAATTTGTATTACTTTTGTACAGTTGATGTGGGTTGGTGTGCTACACCATGTATGCAACGAGCATTCGTGGGCAAGTGGCTTTTGCGAGCATGAACCTCTTGAAGAGGGCATTGAGAATAAGCCCTGGATCATTTCAGGTAATATCAAACTGACAGCGAATATTTAGGAGATATTGCCCTGTAAGGATGCAGTCATTTACTCCCAATGATGTGGTGTGAATGCAGGTTCTGCAGCTCACCAGACACTAACTGCCATCGTACTGGAGAAAAGGTGGTTGACACAGGTCAAGAAGTTCATAAACTTCAGGTAAGCATCTACATTCAAAATTTCCTTATTTTATGAGCAGATTGGATGGTTATTCATATTTTTTTCTTTTATCTTTTTGGCTATTTCCCACACAGGACCACATCAGACCTGGAAAGCTTCCAGAACAGGGACGTGCACAGGGGGGTTGCTCAGGTTGCCCGGGCAACTGCCCATATGCCCTTCTCGACTCAGGTTGCCCTTCCGAGGAAAAAAAAAATCGTACAATGGATGTAGAATTTCACGCAGGCCTAGACAAAAAAATAATATAAAAATCGCAAAGCCTCATTCACTTCCATTCGGGCACTGAAAGGGAAAGTCAAACTGTTTACGTGGCTGCAGTGCCGCACGCGACCATAGACTGCACGCGACCGGTGTGTATGGTAAGGCACCGCAAATTACTCAGGCCGCGCCTCCATCTCGTGTCGCGCGCTAATTAATGTGTACGAAGTCCATGACAAAATGAAGCGAAACTATCCTTCTCGTCACGAAAAGAGGAAGAAGAAAAACATGAGAGTGAATTGCGGGAACAGCAGTCAGGTAAACTTGTGTTCTCTCCTCTCTAGTTTGATGTCAGCAAAGTTTGAAGGTTTTTGGTCTTGCTAACCTATCTGGGCAGGCAGTGCATCTCTTGCATCACTTTTTGCCTGACAAAAGTGAGAGTAAAATACCATTATTTATTACGTTTTGTTTTTTATAAACAAAAAAAAAAATGCAACAACAGTGTTTGTTTACTACAGCTCGGAAAACATAACCGCGTCGCGTGTGTTGCGTTCATATGCGCGTGCACGAAATGAAACTCGCATTTTTCAAGCAGAAATGTGGAGACCAGAAATACTGTACAATACGTGAATGATGGCACTCCCAATCAAAGTACACATTATAAAGACACTGATTATCTAGTCTCAGTGTAGTTAAAAACTCTAAACGACTGCACTAATTATGCAAGATAGAAACCAATGTATTGGCAATTTGACATTGATTGACTATTGATTTATAGGCTATTGAATTTAAAATTATGATTAGCTGGATATTCTGGTCAATATGAATGCAAATCCCTCAGTAAATAACAATAAATCAAGATTTGCTTCAACATGCATAAAAAAAAAAAATAAAAATCATAGGCTACTGATTCCAAAAAATACCCAGGCTGTAGAGTGAATCAAAATTAATCCCAAAAGCCAAAGTTCAGGGTTGTACTTTATTATTTTCTTCTTATTTATGTTTACGTTAATATTCACTTGTTATCTTAACATTCTATAAAAATGCTTTATTCAGTAAATATTATTTGTTTGAACCTCATTCTGTTCTATATTGTTGTACTTATTCTTTGACTGTTTGTTATTGGGCGGTATTGACTTGAGTGGCAATGGCAAATGGTTTACATGGCTCACGGCATCACAGATCAGGTAGAGGGCCCCATAGCAGAATTTTGCTTAGGGCCCCAGGGGGAGGTCAGGATTGGCAAAAAAGGATTGTATTTTTTCCCGAAATCTAAGCGTTTTTTATTTTTTCGAGTTTTTCCATTCAATCCAGATTATTTCTTTTCAAATAAATAAATAAATAATAATAATAATAAAAAAACAATAAACAACAATATGAGGAACTCTTTTGCTCATTTGTCTCATCTCTGACATTTTGCAGAGATGGGGGGGGGGGGGTGCCCTTTTTTCAGGTCAGAGCAACTGCCCCTCAAAATTCCTGTGCACGTCCCTGTTCCAGAACCACATTTTAATGTATGCCGCAAAGCGCATGTCTTACACGCCTTTTGTTTACAAGACCCGGACTTTGCTTGCGCGGCTATAGACTACAACAAGCATAACCGACGGCTGCCAGCACGCAATCGAGAGGGACACAAGATGTAAGTTGTAAATTATATACGTACATGCATATATATATATATACCGTATATATATATATATATATATATATATATATATATATATATATATTAGGGGTGGCACGGTACATGAAAAAACACCCGAACCGTTCGGTTCGCTTGTCTCGGTTCGGAGCGTCTGTGCGTCTCACGGTTCGACGCATGCGCAATGTAACCTCGTGCCCGTATGTGACGTGTGTTTTCTTTTCGCGCGACATAAGCTTGTTCGACTTGGACCGGCGCTGCACAGAGCGACCGGTGAATAACATCACACTAGAGCGGGAACGACGGCTCCGTCACTCACTTTCGCGGTATTTGATGTCATTACCGATCGCTCTGTGCAGCGCCGGTTCAAGTTAGTAAACAAGCCAGTAAAAGTGGAGTATGGAGCGCTGCAGGTCACGGCACGCGGAGAAATGGCAAGTGGGAGAGATGAGGGAGTTGGAGAATGCGCCAGCGTCCTATAAGTCTATAAGTCCGGTGTGTGGGGACATTTTTGATTTCATGTTATGGTATTTTAATATAACGTTACAGTGGCACTTTATGTTTAGATAAGAGCTTCAGTCAAATGTTTCCAAATCCTGCACTTTAATTTAAACTGAAAAAAGGTACCCTCACTTTTTGGGAATAGAAGCATTGTTGATACTGTTTTTTGTGTTGAGGTTGAACTTTTCACTTTATGTTTATGGCCTTTGCTATTTCTATAGCCTAATTATAGGCAATGAGGTTTCATGTATATTGACTTATTCATAAAAGACAGTGTAGTTCCTCTTTTTTTCTTTTAAAAGATAGAATTTTTGTAAGAGCTACAAAAGTTGTCAGTTCATAAATGCAAGTTAATTTCTTTGTGTAAATAAGATTTGTGTGATAAAAATGCACAAGTTCTTGTAGAGATAGTGATACACATTCTCCTTTTTTTGCCAAATAAACGAAAAGCATGTCAATTTCTTCTCTCTTGCTGTGTCAAAATCTCACCTAGCTTTCCTCTGAGATAGTCCCAAAATGTGCTTAAAGTCAAAGAGTCAAATTCAGTTTGTGCATGATTGCATGAATATAATTTTTTTTATACTGTATCCTAAAGTGTGGATAATTAAGCTATATATCACATGATGAAGTACATTTCTGAAGTGTTAAAGATTAAAAGAAAAAAATAACAAGAACCGTACAGAACCGAAAACCGTGATACAAACCGAACCGTCGGTTTCGTGAACCGTGCCACCCCTAATATATATATATTAAAGCTGTCTTTTGATATCAATCTTTTTTATAAATAATTCATATTAAAGGCTTATTTTATCTTCAGGTATCGGCGGTCGTACAATAAAAAATCAAAGACTTGGGGGGTGTACACAGTGAAGGAAAAAAAACAATATTCTACATCCCAGACATACAGAGAGCCATTCTGTCCAGGAGGTTGAGAAGTGGTACCGGCCTTCCCAGAAATGTGTCAATTAGGCCTGACGACCCAAGACGGCTGGGTCTCCTTGCTACAGTACAGCCACCACCCACTCACGAACTTGTAAGAGGACACATAGCGAGAGGAAACATAGTGTCCGAAAACCCACAAGACTAAAGGATAACGGAACTGCAATCTTCTATACAGAAATTTATAGAAGAAAATATGTCATGCAGCACTGGAAATTATATTTTTGATTCTTGGAATTTATTATAATAAATATATTTTATAAAAAAAAGTGTGTAATTTAATATTTGAAACACAACAAAGTTGACGCAAACATATTTATTTAACATGGTTGAAAAGATAACTATTTACAATAACGTCAATATAATCAATGCACACTATTATATTTATTCTAAGCGGCGCACCCTGTAGCCAGTGTAGTGGGCCCTTGGATCAGGAAATGTGTCCCTGATCTTCCACACACAGCAACTTGCAATAACAACCCTATTGCCCACACCCAGGCGACCATGCTGCCACTGTCACAGACTAGAAGGACACAGATGGATGAGTATAACCAGGTTTATTGAGACAGGTGGTATGACAGACAGCTGGTAAGTATGTAATGGATAAAGTTCGGTTCAGGAGCGGGAAACAGTCTGATAATGGATTTCTATCTTTAGCAGGGCTGGAAGTAGGTGAGCGGAGGCAGCGGACGGATGACCGGAGGAAGACCGGGGACCAGGAGCGGATGAGAGGCAGACGGGGCTGAATGAAGCGGGTAAGTATTCCTTGGTAGTAGGCAGTAGCGTAGCGGGAGTCTGTAGCCGATGTGTCGACGAGACCAGACGGTGAGTGACTGTGAGGAGTGAGTTTATAAGGGGAGGATGATTGGGACGGTGATTGAAGCGGGCAGGTGACAGTGATTAGAATGCTGGAGAGCTGGAACGAGTGGGCGGAGTGAAGGTGTCTGGTGCTGACGCAGATGGATCCGTGACAGCCACAAGACAAACTGTCTATAGGCCGCATGTCGAAATTGTCTCTGCTCGAGTCCAGGCTCCGGGTTGTCCGAAAGTGCAAAAATGTCATTCCATGCAGCTCGGGCCAGCCGCAACACACCTTCGTCCAAAATATAATATTGCATGTATGCCATCTGACTAATGCAATGTTGTGGGGATTGGCGACAGCACACTCTTTCAACATCTGTGTCCATCTCCCTGCAATTTTGGCAAGTGCACCAGTGGAGAGCCGCTGGGTCTGGGACTGGATCCGGATGTGGGGGTACCTCCATTAATGATATTACATCAAAAAAAATTCCTGGGGTCCTGTTTAAAATCTTTTCTAGCAATTTTTCTTTTTGTCCAATCTCTAGATGCTGAAGTTTTTCCTAAAAAAAAATGTCTTTTTAATGTAACATTTTTATTTGCAAAATGTACTGAATCTGAATTATTACTTTATTGTCTGGTAATAAACCAACCTTCATTTCAGCCATGCGCCGCTCCTGCAACTCCATCCTCGTCTGGTTATCCTGGTCAAGATCCTTAGATCTTGCGCCTTTCCCCCATGTCTGATATCTCCTCCTGGGAGTTTTGGGTTTTACAATAGAACCTATTGCCTTTGCTGCAAACTCGGACAAGGCAGTTGAAGTTAAACCCTGCAATATCAAATAATGAATCAATGTTGTTATGAAATTTCAAACGAAACGGTAAGAACGAAAAAATTATAGCCTTACCATAGTACACGTATTATTGCAAAATAAATAAACAAACTAGGCTACGTGTTTGACTTTCTTTGGTCAATCGTTATGATGGACAACTCAGATCACCAGAAAAATGATAGAAGAATGTAACGTAACATTTATTTTGATAATGCATAATCTAAGTAGCTATAGCTGTAGGCTAAACTAAAGATAAATAAATAGCGGAAATATTTCTTATAGTATTGTTTTTCACCATAATGTTACCGATTACGTTTGGTAACACAATACAAATATACACTATCTCAACATTTGAATAATATTGTTCTGAGAATCATACATACCTCAGTGGACGATGGCTCCGTTTGTTTGCCGGCTTCTCTGAAAACAAATGCACATGGCCTGAACGAGATGGGCGGGGGCGGGGGGAGTTGACAACGAGTTTACGACAGTTTTCTCATGTATATATATATCCGAAACTGTAGGGGGAGCTCGAGAGAGAAACCTGCGAGAAAACAGCAAAGAAGTTCCCAGTCTTACTGAGCGCTGCTTTAAGCCTTCTTTGTGATCAATGTTTGTATATAATGACTCAACGTCCATCGTCACTAAAAAGGCAGAAAAAGGAGATCTCTACAAAATATAAAGACCAAGGACTACCTTTTGAAAAAGAGATTAAAGAAGGACTAGATAAATTACAGCGACACATCAAACAAGAGAAACTAGCAAAATTCAAGAGAGATCAATCAGACTAAAAGAGAGAGAAAGTTTACATGTGGAGGCAAGTACATAATCGAAATGCACAGATACAATGGACAACTGTATCATTTCAACTGCCAAGTAGCGATGATGACCACTCTGAAAAAGATAGCCTTCCTCCTGGTGATTTTTTAGGCACCAGACCAAAAAAGGACAACAGAGTACTGAGACGAAGAGGCGTAAGACCAGACGAGGACGAAGACGAGGCAATCCATCCAAAAGGCAGGAGCATGAGGAAGATAAACAAGAAGTAATCAATATCTCTGGTATATCACTTTCAAACAGCCAGATTTCAGTTCTATCAAAAGGCCTTACCTTTGCACCTACAAATCCAACTAAGGAGTTCCAAAGTAAAGTGGACTTATTTAAATTTTACCGTAACCTTCAGCTAAAAGTGTGGCATCATACCAACTATAGTGAAACAGCTGTTCACTCCCAAGAGACACACTTTAGGCCCAAGTCTACGTTTATGCCTTATATAAACAATGCTACTCTGAATACTTTTTCTACAAAAGTTACATATGATGTGAATAAACTCTTCACACCTGATAAGAAAACTCAACAGAATTACAACCTGTCAAGGGATGAAAAAGAAGCATTAAAATGTCTGTCAACTAACAACGAAATTGTCATCAAAAGAGCAGACAAAGGAGGAGCCGTGGTAGTGTGGGGCAGAGATCAGTATATCACCGAGGCTATGCGGCAACTGGATAACCGTGAGTACTATCAGCCTTTACCATCTAATCCAATAGAACAAATTAAGAGTGAACTAGAGGAGATGCTTGAACATGCAAAAAGTGAAGACTGGATTTCTAAAAAAGAACATGATTTCCTACAATGTAAATGCCCAAGACTTTTTTTCAGAGGTGGAAAGAGTACTGAAAATTTGTACTCAAGTACAAGTACAAGTAGTTGCTAAAATAATACTCAATTACAAGCAAAAGTACTGGTGTTAAAAATGTACTTAAAGGAACACTCCGACTTTTTGGGACTTTAGCCTATTCACCTTACCCCCCAGAGTTAGATAAGTCCATACATACCTTTTTCATCTCCGTGCGTGCTATAAGTCTGTTTGACGCACCCACCGCTAGCCTAGCTTAGCACAAAGACTCGATGTGACTGGTTGCAGCTTTCATACTGATCCAAATGAGTGGCAAAATAACGCAAACGTTTTCCTATTTACATGTTGTGATTTGTATAGTCACATAATGTACAAATAACAAAGTCAAATGAGACACAGACATCTTTTAACCGTATAAAACCTGGGAACTATTCTCTGAAGGCGAAGCACTGCTACTTTGACGGCGTAATAACCGCATCACCGGAGACACGCAGTGGTGAGGAGCGGAGAGTTCGCTCGGTGTTTGGGTAATAGAGTCAGCAATTTATAAATAGTAAAAGCGTAGTTTAGAGTCATGGGTTTTCGCTCTATTGTAAATAGCTGCGACTGTAAACAGGGGAGGTAACCATGTTTCACAGAATTCCAACTAAAAACGCTGACTGGATGAAGAAATGGCTAACTTACTCTGGATATTTATCCAAACACACCTAAGATTATCAAGGGACATTATGTTTGCTCGGTATATTTCAATGAGGACGACTATTTTGAAAAAATGGAATTTGCCACACGGACCATAATGTGCTGAAGGATACGGCCATCCCATCGATAGCACAGACAGGACAGTGGATCACCTGCGGCGCACGTCCTGATTCTGCCGAGTTAGACGCGTTCCTGGGTCAACAAGGGAGGTGCCTTGTGCAAAATTGATCAACCAATCAGATTCAGCATGTGACATCACACTGCATGAAAAGACTCAAATCCGGCAATATCCGGGCATGGTAAACTCCTGTGCAATTTGATGTTTGCTGGATGTATGTGGGAAAAAGCGGATCAGAGTAACACGGAACAGTATATTTCCAGACAAACCCGGAAAACTCACCTAAGCGGGCATATACAGGAATCCGTGAAATTTCACGGACATATACAGCTGAAACACTGCTGGTGTGAGAGTGTGAAGAAGACCTTTCATATGTTATGACTGACACTAAGGGTGCTGGCTGTTCTCAGAGGGAGGAGTGGCAGGGGACTTCAGATTGAAAATTATCTCTGGTCTACAGCAAACAAGTTTTTTGTACAGAAAATAAATAAATTCTTAAGGCCCTGAAACAGAAAACCGACGTCAAAGAACTAGCAATGACTAAGCCAACTCTAGGGTAGGCTTAAGTTATGTCGCCTGTGTCAGGGCCTTAAAACCACTGTATGAAAAAAGTATCCTAATCAAATATTCTTTTATAAAAACAGGACAAAATAAACACATGAATATACGTTCACAAAAACATCTGAATTTTAATGAAATAAAAAATACAGGGAAACATTTCAGAATATCTAAATTTTTATTGTGAAGTTTTACAAATTGCAGACAACAACATTTGTCGCCATTGGCTTTGCTTAGTTGGGGACATTTTTATTTAATATTCAACAATGTTATTGAACTGCCTGCATTGACACCATTATATGAGATCAGGGGCTCGTTCTTCGTACGTTGCTTAAAACATCCGAGATCAAATGAGACATCCAAGATGATATCATCGTGCTAATCATGATCCGGCTAATTGGGTTCTTCGAACACACCTGTTGTTTATGATTAGTATCGCTGGATTGAGTTATCTGAGATAACTGCGCGTTCTCTGCGTGGTTTAAAAGGACATGTATCGATAGCAGAACCAGTGATCAGCAACGCTGCTATTGGCTGTTCAGCGTGGCCAAAGAAAACGCCCAGTTTTTCTCCCAAGCAGAGCAAGCGCTTTTAATGCAAGGTTATGCCGAATTTCAGTCTTTAATTAAAACGCCAGGAACACCTCAAAGTGTGCAAAAGCCAGGAGAGAGTGCTGGCAAAAGTAGAAGACAAATTAAATGCGTTGTGGTGGCCATGTTAGATGTTTTAATAACTTATTATTATTATTATTATATTATTATTTTTATTTTCATAATTTCATAATTACTTTGTTCATTGTATGTGTCGAGTCACCACACATATATAATGGACATGGTGAAAGTGAAGTACAAAAAATATTCTACTTAGGCCTAATGGTAATTTTACTAGGCCTTATAGGCCTACTAGTCTCTTTTAAAAAGGCACTGTTAAATAAATGATTGTCTGTTTTAAAAGCAAACAGGAAAAAGGCTGAGAAAAACTAATAATGATGCTCCTGACCCTGGCAGAAGAGCTGACCCTTGGGTTGGATGTGAATTGCCCTGTTGTGAAGGGCATCCCTGGTTCAGCTCTTCCAGACCACATCAGGGACCAGTAGCAGCAACACCTACATCACTGGGAATGAGATTTAAATTATCTTTGTACACTGTGAAATAATTTGCTGCTGCATTAAATGAAGTAGACCCATATGCAAATTGGCTGGTTTAGTCATTTCAACTGTTAAATCTTGAGTAATGATAAATTGCTTTGTCTTGTGAAAGTAAAAACTGATAAACTTATGTTAATGTAAAAAATATTTGCCATGAGTTATCAATCACATTGCACTTGAGAGTGAAGAAAACTTCAGATGACTGTCCTTTTGAGGAAGTACTTTAATTGAATTGATGGCTTTAATTGATTTCTACTTGTGCCTATGCCTATTATTTCTGACAGGAGTCCACATGTACAGAAAGGCCTACAGAAGAGTCTGCACACAGCAGTGATACAGGGTGGCAGTGTAGACAACTTTTCCCTTTTTATTTTGTTGCATTAGGCATGTGTGACACAAACGACCACAGGGTGAAATTCGTTCCCCATTTGAGTCTTCAACAGAAAATAGAATATTTGAAAAAATAAAAATCAGGGGGAGAAATAACTTGACTAAGTTGCACTAGAAATAGAGTTGCTTCAAAATAAACTTCAGACTTAAATACACTATTTCACACAGAGTACTATTGCTGACCTTAATATCTCTTAATATCTCTTGACCTTAAAATATGACTGAATAACTGGCTTTTCTTTAAAAGAACTATTGAAATAAAACTCTAAGCAAATAGAGTTTTGCAAATTTGTCTTGTCTTTTATTTTAGGCTTAATTAATTTTTTTTTCTATGTTTCTGATGTTGGCAATGTTGTGTAATATGACTGGTCTGGGGTTTGGTCAGGGAATGGGGTCATAAAACACCTGTCTCCATGCAGGATCCTGTTTTATCACCTGTATAATGGAAAAATGCATTTCTCATCGAATCGAACATTAATGTGCATTTCCCACAAAATAAAGTATAAACGACACCCTCACGACGATCGTTTCACGAGAAAAAAAAATAATCTCAGAAATTAGGCTACACTATCGTGCTGCGCTAAAGGACTTCCCGTATCAGCCGCGATCTAATCCTGTTTACATGAAATAAGCCTGCTCGCGAGCAGGTTCAAGCTGACGGACCTGTTGCTATGACAACAAGTCCAGGATGAGCGTCGAAGAACCAAACGATCCAAGATCATGCCAAATCGACAACAATCAAATCCAGCTAACTGAGTTAGCGAGGTACGAAGAACGAGCCCCTGAACTGAGATGGACAATGACATCACGGTTTTGGCAGAGTTAATCCATGCTTCTTTGGGCATGCATGATGTGAAACGAGTGGTCGCAAAACCACCGGGCTTTCCCGTGTTATTGTCAGCAGCTGGTTATCCTTCCATGTTGAAAGGTAAGTCCAGCTGCATCATATTTATTCACAAAATTAAATAGATTCACTTGCAACGCGTCATACCGAGGTTTGTGGTTTGAGTGAATAAGTTCTTCCGCAAACAAACAAGCTGCAAGAAAAGGGGGCGTTTTGAGGTTTGAAATTCACCACTCACAACCATAAACACAACAATGTGGTGACGTAATGGAGGTGCAACCAATAACGTTAGTGTATTGCTTCAAGCTGCGAGAAAAATACTTTAAAATTACAGCATTCTTTCCCGAAGAAAAGAGAACAGTTCGAGGTTTGGAAACAGTTTTCTTCTATTCACCTTATTTTGCACGACAACAAGGGTGACGCCATTGCGTTCGTTTTGTCATCTTACTCCCGTCTGAGAAAGACTTCAACTTCCGGCTCATGAGAGGGATGAGATTCTGCGCTAGTTGAAACGAACGGTAAAATATGTCAAGTATTAAATGTTCAGTTAGGTGCTGCCATAACAGTTGGATTAAGAGGAGAGAACAATTGGACCAACGGTGTAACGAACATAATGTGAGGCGGTCAGATTGTTGTTGTGGTGCACTTTACGATTTAGCTACACCCACCACCTAAAGACGAGGAGCACCGGAGGCAATGGCGGAAGGCACTAACGTTACATTTGGAAGCATAGGCTTGAAAGTGCCCAACTGAGGCTAAACACGGAAACGATTCTGATGAGAAAACGCAAAAGTGGCGTTGCGTCATCTTTTTTTTATTCTGCGTTTAGACGAGCGTTTTGTGTGAGAAATCCGCGTGCAAATGGAGACGCAAAAGTGTGTGAAATTCAATGTAGTATGCACTTCAGGCGGCTAGGAGTGCATACTACAACAACACCAAGTCCACGCGCCTGCGTACAACTTTCACCGTCAAGCAAACTTTTGCGTTTATATCGTTTACACGGGTAAGATTTAAGATTTCCACTCTGGGGGGTGGTTTCACTTTTTTTGCGTTTTTGAGCCTCAAAAACGCCATCGCCGTGTAAACGAAAGGCACATCCGATAAAATATTTTTACGTTTTCACCCGCGAGCGTTCTCGTGTTAACAGGGCCTAAGGACGGGAATCCGATTGAGGAACACCCCAGAAATGGCTCGGCTACGATGTTCCGATAAAGAAGTCACGCCGGGTGTTGAATATTGTCAGATTCAGGTAAGCTAACTTGCCTAACTGTTATGTGCTTGTTTGCCTAACTTTAGATTCGTGAAGTCCGTTCTATGAATGCTTTTAAGATCAGTAACAAGCCGTAAACAAAATACAATGAATCTTGCACGATTACCATTGCCCACATATACATGTTATTTATTTAACTTTGTGATATTGACCTAAGAGTCTGAAAGAATGAATGAATGAATATTCACGGTAGTACAAGATAGTATGGTAACTTACATTAGTCTTACAATAGCTCACATTACTGCTATTGCACATTACGAGATGTAAACAACACTGGTCCAGATGCACTTCCTGTTTCAGTTTGTAAAAGGCTTCTTAATTTCAAATGTAAAGAAAATATCTTGAATATGTTTGTTTAACTTTTTGATTCAGTTGTTCTGTTGGTTGTACTTTAACCCAACGTTTATACAGTGTTAAAACTGAAACAGGAAGTGCTTGTGAAATCTTGTGAAATGGTCTATACAGAGATTGCTGATGCTAGCTACATCTCTCATTCAGATATTGATATTGACTTATGGCGAGTTAGGAGATTGTGTATTGTTTCGTTTTTAATTAATGTATCTTTCTCACACACTGTTCTGTGTAACTATGGGTGCCATCATCAATGAATTCTCCATGATCTATTTTAATTAGCTACTAATGTAAAAAATGTTTATGGTTATAATATTTCCATAGATGCATCAATGAGAGTCAGTAATGCAGTGGATAACTATGAGGATGATCACATCCACATGCCCCACAGCTGTGATGCAGAATCACAATGGGAGGATCAATCTGTCTTTGGCCACAACCTGATCTTCTCAGAGAGACTCTCCAGCGTCTTGATGCTCTTTAGCGAAAGTATGAGCAGCACAGACTAACGTTACATGAAGAATCTTACAACGCTTCGAAAAGAATAAAAAAGGCACATGACGTGAACATTGCGGTAAGTCCAATTATTGTTCTATAACGTGGCTGTAAGCCATAGTTCGGTTACAATTATTGTTTTGTCTCTTGCGGTTACTGTGATGGTCAGCTTATTCCAACTGAAAATTCAGTTTTGTAGTTCTTGAAGATTGTGAATCAATTTAATTGCTTTTTAATTTCAAACTTTACAGGAATCTGTAAGGCGCCTCCATAATTCAGAGAACAACCCACACAAATACGTTCCACAAACCAGGTAAGACTGTTTCTTATATACTATAGCCTAAATGTTAGTTTAATCTACTACTCTATGGATTTGGAATGCCAAAAGTGAATTTCAGTAATGATACCTGCAACTTTCCCCCCCAGAATAAATTCATCACATAATTCTTCGAAGAGGTAAGTGGTCACAGCCAGGTTAAGGTCAACTTTTACAGACGTTGACCCTGAATGTGTAAAAGGTAATCTTAAAGATGTTGTAATCATTTTATTGTCCTCTGTTTTACTTATTTTTATTGCCATTACATTTATTTATGATATATTTAGCAGGTTGGAAGATGTATTTTGAGACTTTGCGGAGGAAGTATTCTTTGGCTCAGCCTGAAAAGGCCCAGAAAAGAAAAACTATGACGAGCATTGCAAAGAACCTTCAAAGAAAGCGACTGGTAAGTTAAGAAACTGGTTAAGCACTTTTTTTTCTCTTCAGAATGTAACTATCCTCCTCTCTGTGTTTTAGTGGTTAAGTTACTGTCATGTTTTTCAGTTGCTGGAGACCAGGTCCGGGGTTGTACAAACCAACACAGAAAAGGAACTTTGGAAGACCGCAACAATAGAACTGATGTCTGATGAAGATGATGCTATTGTTGATGGAAGGCCAGTGTGAATGGTGAGGTCTCCACCAATCTGCTCTCTGCTAGGTACTATAAAACAGACTAGAGGCTGACTCACACTATGCGTCACACCACCAGCGTATCATGGCAGTTTGAAAAATGTTAACTCGTATAAAAAAATATATATATATATATATATATATATATATATATAACCGTTCAAAAGTTTGGGGGTCGGTAAGATATTTTTTTTTTTTTGGTTTGGGGGGGATAGCTCAAATTAACTCAATACTTTTATTCAGCAAGGATGCATTAAATGAATCAAACGTGACAGTAAAGACATTTATAATGTTACAAAACATCATATTTCAAATAAATGAAATATAACTTTCTATTGATCAAATAATCCTAAAAAGTCTACAACTGTTTTCAACTTTGGTAATAATAATGAATATTTATTGAGCATCAAATCATCACATTAGAATGATTTCTGAAGGATCATGTGACACTGAAGACTGGAGTAATGATGCTAAAAATTCATCTTTGATCACAAGAATAATGTATTCCAATAGAAACGTTTATTTTAAATTGTCATAATATTTAACAATATTACTCTTACTTTTTTTGTATTTTTTATATATAAAAAAAAGCAGCCTTGGCGAACATATGAGACTTCTTACCGATCCCAAACTTATAAACGGCAGTGTACACCTTGAATATTTTATATACACTTTAATTTCTTATTTACTTTTCTCGTATTATTTCATATATTTGTTCCTTTTTTTGTTGTCCATGTTGCTTATCTCCATTTTGTTTACTTGTTTGCATTTTAATGTATGTTTATAATGCACTCTCTGTAATGTTCTATTTATTTATATTGTTTACTTGGAATATCTACGTATATTTTTTTTATATATATATATATATACAGTATATGAAGAGTTCAGATGCAAAAGCCTCTAAATGCCATTTGAAATTTTCTCCTTTAATGATGATTTTTATCAAACTTGTATATTTAAGTTTAGTAATTTCACTTAAATAACAATTAATAGGCAATTATCATTGCCATTTAAGAGAAATTACTGAACTTAAATACACAAGTTTGATAAAAATCATCATTAAAGGAGAAAATTTCAAATGGAACTCTTCATATATTTTATATATATATATATATATATATATATATATATATATATATATATATATATATATGTAACTTTTTATATACACTGTGTACTTTATTCCTTTACATCTGTCCTTTAAAATGATTGGGTAAAAAAAAATTAACGAAAATAAAAAGTTAACAAATTATTTAATGTATGTTTATAATTTTCTTTGGAATGTCCATGATTTTTTTTTCTTCCTTTGAGATGTTATTACTTCATACTTTTTTTTCTAGTTTTTGTTCCCAATTCCTCTGTAATGCTTGTTTATAATGCTATTTGGAATGTGTTATATACCTTAATAAAAATTTCAGACTTTCCCATTGTTCTTTGTGTGTTTAAATATAAATATAAATATATATATACATCAAATTTATTTTAACATGAACTAAACTGCTTAAATAAGGTGTGAATCTCCTCCGACCGCGATCGTTTCGTCATCCGATCCGGTATGGTGTTTTCCCCGTGATCGTATCGTCGGATCTTTTCCCCCGTTGATATATCACTTTTCCCCTGCAATCGTTTAGCAGACCCTCATGCTAATCCTTTTGCAAAAGAAAACCAAAACACTTTCGCGAGTGGGACCAAATACCAATAATGCAGGTTTTTTCAAGCAAAATAATATCGATACAATATCTAATATAAGACAAACTGTAAAATATCAATGTATTTAAATAATAATAGCAATGTTAATACAATATCTAGTTGGCCTAAAAGGCAAACTGTTGCCTAATGTAATAAATAATGAAATATCTCGTGTTGACCCAGGGACATATTTTTATGTTGACCCAGGGACATCATTCCTTATTACTCATCTAATATTAGACAAACAGTTATCAATCACTGTATTTAAATAATCTTAATAATAATAATAATAATATGTAGTATAAGGACTAACCGTAATCTATGTAAAATTAATAACGAAATATCTTTTGTTGACCCAGGGACATCTTATTTTTTTTGTTGACCCAGGGACATCGTTCCTTATTACTCATCTAATATTAGACCAACAGTTATCAATCACAGTATTTTATAATCATAATAATAATATAATATCTAGTAGGCAAACTGTAATATCTCACTTAATAGTATAATAATAAATAAGAATTAAATATCTTTTGTTGACCCAGGAACATCATATTTTTATGTTGACCCAGGGACATTATTCTTTATTTCTCATCTAATATTAGACAAACAGTAATCAATCACTGTATTTAAATAATCATAATAATAATTTAATATCTAGTATAAGACAAACTGTAACATTTCACTATCTAATAATAATAATAATAATAACGAAATATCCTTTGTTGACCCAGGAACATCTATTTTTATGTTGACCCAGGGACATTATTCCTTATTACTCACCTAATATTAGACAAACAGTAAATCAACACTGTATTTAAATAATCATAACAATAATATCTAGTATAAGACAACTGTAATATTTTACTATAATAGGCCTAATAGTAATAATTGTAGTAATAATAATAAATAAATATCTTGTGTTGACCCAGGAACATTGTATTTTTTATGTTGACCCAGGGACATTATTCCTTATTACTCATCTAATAGACAGACATCAATCACTGTATTTAAATAATCATAACAATAATATCTAGTATAAGACAAACTGTAATATTTTACTATATAGGCCTAATAGTAATAATTGTAGTAATAATAATAAATAAATATCTTGTGTTGACCCAGGAACATTGTATTTTTATGTTGACCCGCAGGGACATTATTCCTTATTACTCATCTAATAGACAGACATCAATCACTGTATTTAAATAATCATAACAATAATATCTAGTATAAGACAAACTGTAATATTTTACTATATAGGCCTAATAGTAATAATTGTAGTTAATAATAATAAATAAATATCTTGTGTTGCCCCAGGAACATTGTATTTTTATGTTGACCCAGGGACATTATTCCTTATTACTCACTAATAGACAGACATCAATCACTGTATTTAAATAATCATAACAATAATATCTAGTATAAGACAAACTGTAATATTTTACTATATAGGCCTAATAGTAATAATTGTAGTAATAAATAATAAATATAATATCTTGTGTTGCCCAGGAACATTGTATTTTTATGTTGACCCAGGGACATTATTCCTTATTACCATCTAATAGACAGACAATCAATCACTGTATTTAAATAATCATAACAATAATATCTAGTATAAGACAAACTGTAATATTTCACTATATAATAATAATAATAATAATAATAAAAATAATGAAATATCCTTTGTTGACCTAGGAAACATCATTTTTATGTTGACCCAGGGACATATTCCTTATTACTCATCTAATATTAGACAAACTGTAATCAATCACTGTATTTAAATAATAATTATAATAATATCTAGTATAAGACAAACTGTAATATTTCACTATATAAATAGTAATAATAGTGAAATATCTTTTTGTTGACCCAGGAACATCTTATTTTTATGTTGACCCAGGACATGTTCCTCATCTAATATTAGACAAACAGTAATCAATCACTGTATTTAAAATAATCACAATAATAATAAATATCTAGTATAAGACAAACTGTAATATTTCACTATATAGTAGTAATAATAATAATAATAGTAATAGTGAAATAACGAAATATCTTTTGTTGACCAGAAACATTATATTTTATGTTGACCCAGGGCATCATTCCTAATTACTCATCTAATATTAGACAAACAGTAATCAATCACTGTATTTAAAGTAATCTATCATAATAATAATATGATATATAATATTAGACAAGCAGTAATCACACTGTGTTTAAATAATGATAATAAGAAATAATGAAATATGTTTTGTTGACATAGGAACATTTTAAGTTGACCCCAGGGACATCACCATTACTTATTACTCATCTAATATTAGACAACGAGTT